AAAAGCGCCTGCCTGGCAAGCGCAAGGTCATGAGTTCGGTTCCCGGTACCAGAGAAAAACCAAAAAAAAAAAAAAAAAAAAAGAAAGATTTGAAAAGTTAGTAAATCAGAGTAAAAGATGGAATGGAAAACTCAAAATGCAAATTAGTCCTTTCACACAACTCTCTCCATGTCTAAGCGCAGCTCTACAAGCCCCAGTTATCTTATACTCCAGTATCTCTAAATTCTTAAGACTGAAGATTCTAACCCTACTTGCAATTCTGTCAATTAATGCCGCTTGTCCTACCAGGAAATGTCAAAAGTTCATCTTCCCCACATACTATTGCTCTCATACATTCAGGTTCTCTAAATATACAAAAAGACAAATTCAATCCAGAAAGCCCATCTCCCTCTTTCTCCCACTGGATGTGAACAGAGAAACACCATGCTCCCTGCTGCTGGCAGCTTCATTATGACCAGGTGGGTTCAACACACAGGCAGCTGACCCTAGAGATAGTAGAGTTCTCGATGCTAAGCCCCCAACTACTCCTAAAATCCACACTAATCCAGGGCTTTCTGCTAAGCAAAACTGTAAGTTTATTCTTTAAGCTGAATTGAATTCGGTTTCCAGAAACACACAGTCTAAACAATTATTCTTCCAGTAGGATCTGAGGCACAGAAACAATGCCATTGTATTTTCATCCAACAAAAATGTTCCTAGAGGAGCTAATGTATGCTTAGCATCACCCTAGACACTAAGGATACAGCAGTGACCAAGTCTAACTGCCTGCTTTTTTGTAGCTTACACTCTAACAGAAGAAATAGGTAAAACACAAATTTAAAAGAGCCAGTTTCCACTTTCATCTTCAGGGAAGCTCACCAGGTGGTAAATCTTAAACAAATACAAGACTTTCTATCAGTTTTTACTACCTCTCCCTTAAGCAGGAACAGAGACCAAGCACCATGCAACATGTGAGGAAAGCCTACATCAGTAACAGTGGACCTTCTAGAGCTTTCAACGGTATGAACAGCCAACTATGGCACACGTGCCTTAGGTCCACCACTGGCCCAGGCTATAAAAGATGGGGTGGGGGGCGGCATGACACACTTCACAACAATCAGAGACAACGAAGGTGCCAAAAGAAACCCTGGGAGGGGGGGACACTATTATCATCAAGAAACGATACACACTGTTTTCAAAAAACAAAAACGGAATGTTCTAAAACACAAACATTCACAGCTTTCAATTAAAAAAGTGATAACCCAGACGAAAAATTCAATAGAGCAGGGAATAAAGCACAGTGGTACAGCACTTGCCAAGCACACACGTACATAGAAAGCCTGGGTTCAATCCCAGCACAGCCCAAGGCAAAAACAAAACAAAACAAAACGAATCAGTAAGACTCTTTCTCTAAAAGAATGGGCAGGCCAATCCTAAGAGTCTGGGGGGCAAGTACAGAATAAGTACAAATGTAAACTATAAAATATCTTGCTTAGGGCTGGGCATGTGCTTAGCGTGACCAAGGCCGTAGGTTCAACGCCCAACACCAAAAGAATATTTACCTATAAAATGTGCTGATAACCTTAGACATAATGCCAATGAATAATCACCATCAACTGCTGGGTCCTTTTCTGCAGCCTACTTCAATAAGCAATTACTAACCACCCATTACCTATCAGACACTACTGACATTGTCTGCTAGGAAAAATCCTGCAAAGCACATTTGATTCCGGCCTCAAGATCAGTGAAGAGTAAAATAAGAGATCACTGCCACAGTTTAAACACCAGACACAAGGGAAGTGCAGGACACCTGCTCAGAGGGTCTCTTCCCAGGCCCCAGGTTCTATCCAGCAGACCCACACAATTAAACACTTCCTGGACTCAGGTGACACAGCTGAGCTCCACACTGTGAGCCACTCACATCAGTTCTCCCACGCACATGCGGTCGTGAAGCAGACACACCCACAGCACGGACACATATACATAGATGTGTCTGTGCACACATGTAGTAGTCATTATTTTGTTTGACAAATACTTATTTTTTTTCTGGGGATTGAACCTGCCCTGGCACTGCGCCACACCCCCAGTTATTTATTTATTATTTTGAGACAAGCTCTCATTAAATTGCTAGGCTCAAACTTGTGATCTTCCTGCATCACCTACACCCAGTTCGACAAAAATCGAGCCACAAGTAAACAAGCAGTCCCCACTTGGACCCTAATTCCCCACGTGATTTCAGACAAGTCAGTTCCTGCAAGGGCACTGCCTCCCTCAAAGATCAGAGAAAACCAGAGAGGGATATTCCTCCTCCCTTACGTAGTCTAGGGGAAGGCCGCAAAGCAATGATTCTCGGTAAACTGCCCACCAGTGGCATTTGGATTAACCAATTTCTCTGAATTGTCTGATAATATACCCATTTCGTTTCCTCTACCGATCTTGAAACACCAGAAATTTACTATGTGCTCAGCTATGAAACCTCTTCTATTAAATGCTCCAAGTTCGATATTTAAAAATAAAAACCACAATCTAAGCCGACACAAAACTCCCAGACCTCTAGAGTTCTCAATCCCGTAGGGCAACAGAATCAAATGTCCAAGAAGACAC